ATTTCTCTAATGTGATAGTTTGTGAGTGACAAGGTAGATTCTTACTGGCTTCCATATTAAAGTTCCTGCACTTAACCTTTTATGAGGAACGAAAGTTCAGGGCACTAATTTGTTGTGCGGAGATTCCTGGAGGGCATGAGCTACCATCTGACTGCTAAGTATACTTAGAAACAGCATCAGTTCTTTCATGATCCTTGGACAAAAGAGATGCCATAAGGAGTAATGACTTGAACGCATTCCAAAGGCATATCAAGTAACTTATCATAAGCTTAAAAAAACTTTGGATTTTTGATTGAATATGTATTCTCCAAATGCTTTTCTGTGAATTAAATGTTTTTCTAATTAGACTTAAAAATGTGAAGTTTTCTTGCAAAACTGATTTTCTATTAAGGCACTAAAGTAGCTTCTCTTCCCTTCTGCTTGGGTCCTAATTAAATTATGTCCCAACTTGTTTTAATTCAGCAATCAGTTTTTTTTCCATTTGTACTAGATTACAGAATCTCATTTAAAAATCACTCTTTAACGAATTCTACACAAAGCAGAGGTGATGGACATTTTCTAATGGAGACAAAATAGTACTGGTCAAGTTATGAGACAGACTCCTTAAAAAAAAAAGGGATCCAGTTGCATTCTGGTGGTATTTTATGCTGTTTTTAGGGATTAAAAAGTAGTAGTGGAAGGCATAGGGATGAAAAATTAGGAACAAATGCTAAAATAAAAAGGGTCTAAATGCTTTGAAGATGTACTTGATGCTGGGGTACAGGACTGATACAGTTGCTGCAATGATCATAAATAAAATTCATTAAAAAAGAAAATGGAGTCATAGCTATTGATCATAATATTTGAAGTAATTAAGTAAAAATATTAAAAGAATGGATTACTCCAAATATCTGGAGGTTGGCTTCAGGTTTGACTTATGGATGACATAAATATTCTTGAATGATTAAAATGAAGAAAATCTTAAAAATTCACCAGGTAGGGCTTCCCTGGTGGCGTAGTGGTTGAGAGTCCGCCTGCCGATGCAGGAGACACGGGTTCGTGCCCCGGTCCGGGAAGATCCCACATGCCGCGGAGCGGGTGGGCCCGTGAGCCATGGCCGCTGGGCCTGCGCATCCGGAGCCTGTGCTCTGCAACGGGAGAGGCCACAACAGTGCGAGGCCCGCGTACAGAAAAAAAGAAAAGAAAAAAAAAAAAAATTCAGCAGGTAGCCTGAGGCTATACATGTTAGAAGCCTTTTGCCAGTGGAAGAACTGTATATACTGATTATAAAGGATGATGTTTGAGGCCTTAACCTGAAAAGGGGGAAAATTAAGACAATGGTTTTATGCGTAACCATCTCTTGAAACTCAAAGGACTTCTGTTTTAAAGAGACAAAAGGAAGAGAAAGGTTTAGCTGTCTTGCAAGGTCAGATTCCATCTTCACCTGTTAGCAGGTGGAAGGAGAGTGGGTCATCAGTCATGCAACATTAGACAAAAAAAAAAAAAGGCTAGCGAACCTGAACTACTAGTAAGGGAGGGGACTTGGATTGTGTTAGTCATAAAAACGTCATAAAGTCAGGATGGAAACTTCAGCACAGAGGTTTTCTCCACGGGCTAGAATCTAACAATGGGAGTTGTGTGCTTGTTGAAGCTCTTCTGGCCTAATTTCTCTCTTCAACACCCCCTGTGTTTCAAACATGTGCTTAGTAACTTTTAGATAAGGCTCCTTTCCAGTTTCTCCCCAATTGCTCGCGTATTTAATTGCTTACTAAGATAACACATAATCCTTTAACTTACGTAATTGCTTCATCATCTTATGACTTTTATATTTTATAACTTTAAACAACAAAGCCTACCCCATGCTATCAAAACCCTGGGGTTGGATCCTAGTGGGCTGTATTTAACCCGTTTAAATCCAAGTCTCTCCTTGAACAGACTATTAATGACTAGCGGTTCAGTTTCTAGATTCCAAAGCTGTTTCTTGAATTCCTTTTTCTCGCTTTCTTTGGTATCTTTCACTCATTATGACATTAAAAAGAAGATTTAACACTTTAGAGGAAAGCAAAACAAAAATCTTAAACAAAATTGCTCATATAAAATGGAAAAAGAATTTTGTTTGAAACCGTGAGAACTAAAGTCAATCTAAGACTTCAGTTTATTCAAACAACTATAATTTTCTCTAGTTAGTGAACAGTAGATGAAAAGATAGCACGTTATCAGTGAGGAGTAATTCTTTAGAGATAAAATGTAATTGGAATCTTATTTATTAGGAGAAAGTTTATACCTGAATCTAGTTATCCAGAGATACTTTGTAAGCTAGACATCTGTTTTATAAGGTTTCCTATATCATGATAAAAGGAAATAGTCACTCAACTGAAAATCAAAAATTATTCCCAAGTAGATACCAAAGAGGAAAGGCTCCAGGGTTTAAAAGTACAGTTATAGAATTATTTCCCGTTAAAAATCTCCAGAGCCATTCAGTAAGTACAGTGGTGGTGAGGAAAAGAGTAGAGCAATACACATAGAGGAAAAAGAGTAGAACAAATGGGGAGATGAAAGCACAAGAAAGAAAGGACACAAAAAAGATCGGTCAAGAAGAAAGAATGGGAGATCTCTTGCTAGTTGAATATGTCAAATAGCAGACTCCATGCTAGTATACTCTATCCTATTTAATCTGTAAAATAAGATAATGTTAGACCACTTACTAGATTAAAAAAAAAATACTGAAGTTTAGAGAGCATAAGTGACTTGTCTAAGGTCTCTGAGCTAGTACATGGATCTGTAGGGATTGAAACCCAGGAATGTTTGATCTTAAAGGCAAGACTTTTACTAGAAATCAGTCTAGCTGGCAATAAGCAAGGCAAAAACTGGAGTGAGGGAGGAAAGTGAGGCAGCACTAAACTCCATGAAAGCAAGAGCAGTGTCCACCCTTTTCACGTTTCTTTTTTTTTTTTTAACACCTGGCACAGTGCTAGGAATATAGCAGTACATAATGAACGTTTGCACAGGCTCCGGACGCGCAGGCTCAGCGGCCATGGCTCACGGGCCCAGCCGCTCCGCGGCACGTGGGATCTTCCCCGACTAGGGCACGAACCTGCGTCCCCTGCATCGGCAGGCGGACTCTCAACCACTGCGCCACCAGGGAAGCCCTGGTGAATCATTTTGAGTAAGTTGGATCACAAAAAAAATCTTTCATAGGGAGAGAAGATGAGGAGGAAGAAAGTTATAAAAGAGAGAAAACGGGCAATTCAGGGGGTGAGAATAAAAACGTGATTCTTTTTGGGCAGTCTACCTAAACTCGTAGATTCTAGCGTCATACCTGTCAGCTCAGTGTCAAGTATCAAACTCTGCCCGTATTCAAAGAATTTTTTAAAGAAGAAAATGGCTTGATGGATTACATTTCCTAACACAGACAAAAATATTTACCAACTTTTCAGAAGCCCAGGGGTGTAGTCTTGGAATCCCATACCACTTGATAGTGACTAGTTGGGGGGGGAAGGACATGAGCCATGCCCTCTGGACAGGTGGGCTTGTGAAGGACAAGTGGGTCCTATCTGGATACTCGACCAAGAAGCCAACCAATAATCAATTAACAAAAATCTATCAGTTAATAATACTTGTTATGGTCCCACCCCTATCCCCCAGCCACAAGGAACTTACAAAGTCAAATATGTCAATAAAATATAAAAATGCAGTGAAACAGGTCACTACTTTGTTAAATGACTAGCAACATTATGATTAAAGGATTAAATGTTTTTCACACAGATGTTGCATTTTAATATAGATATTGGTCTACTCATAGGGAAGAACTACTCAAATAAGTTGTAAAACTTAAAAACTCCATATTATCCTTGGGTGGTTCTATCCACAGGGGCAGTAAATCTATTTCAATATCCAAGAATCTAATTTTGACTAAACGTTTTCCTTCCAAAGAAAAAGCAGAGCTTAACTCAAATAATTTTGACTCGTTTTTTTTTTTTTTTTTTACAACGAAGTAATAATTTTAGAGCACTAATAAAATTCAATTTCAGTATAGTAATAAATAAACCTGTTCTAAAACCTCAATAGTAATAATGGTTACAGAAAACCTTAGGTTGAAAGGATTCCCAGGTGATATTCTTGGCTGAGTTTCTCTGAAGGCTTGGGTTACTTTCTGATTTCCCTGGTGGCCCCAAAGTGACCACACCTTACAGAATCCAAGGCGTCTAGTGATCCTAAATGACAAAGGCTGTTGGCAATCCCTTGGGTAATTATAAACCCATGTTAGGAACAAAAAAATGGCTGGAAAAGGAGTTGCTTTAGGAATTCAGAGAAACTAAGAATTGTTTGCTTTTCTGGTTTTGGCCTGTTGAGACACTGGCTCAGAAAAGCACTAGTGTCAGGCTGGCATAGCATAATCAAATAGAATTGATTATTATGCAGTTTAAATGCACTAAGGCTACTGAAATTCCCTTCTTTAAATCACAGAAAAATCCTGGGCTAACCTATTAAAACTGGGGCAAAACAATGTGAAGAATACTGTAAAAATGTGAGTCACTTAAAAAGTGGATTTAATATCTGCCTTTGTGAATTTTATTTGACGTTTTACCCATTGTGCTCTGATATCTTTAGGAGAAATAATGAACTGTCTATAATATGCAGAAATAATCAAGGAAAAAGTGCCATTTCATTTCTATTTAATAGCTATATAATCTATGTAGAAAACAAAGTCTTTGTGGAAAAATACAAAGGAAAAGATGACTTTTCACTGTCCTTTTAAAGAAGCAGATTGTGTGTGTGTGTGTGTGTAATTTCTAAGCTTTTAGAAGTGGTGTGTTTGTCTGTCTGTCCCCTCAACCCCAGGGGATTATCTGTAGACCTGCACAAACCTTTGTTTTCTTTCAAATAAGACCCAGAAGATCAGTATACTTTTTTACGAGGTTATGCAATCCCCTGACCCTATTTTGCTCACTGTCAGAAGCTGGAGGGCCACATCACTCACGTCACCCCAGCAGCTCTCAATAGGTTAGTATGAGAGTAGCAACTGGCGAGTACGGCTTGTCACATTAGAAATGCTAATGTTTTTCTTACCTCTTCCTTCTCTGCACTTTGCAGATCACGCCACTCCTCAGTTACGTGACCGAAATCCACTGTGTTCATGGGGACTTTAAATTCCCCAATGATGTCATGCTTGGAGAAACGATCAAAATCATAGACAGCCATCACCAGAGTTTTGCCACCCAATTCCGAATACGGCACCTAAATAAAAAGATGAGGACAAAATATCTGGTCACAAAAAATGCTTAAAACATGTTACCTGTTTATAGTCTTTAATTTTAATATTTATGTTGGATAAACAGAACAGGGAGATACTTGTGCTTTGGGGGTTTTTTCCTTAAATTGAATCATTTAACTAACTGCTTGGGGCTTAAATTACTTGGGAGAAAATGAGGACTTACCATAGTGATTTATCACTTTATCCCAAAGTTCTAGAAGCTGTTAGTATTATTAATAATAGCTCATACTATTAGTCAGGCTAGAAACACTTCAAGGTTAATATACGAATAAACCAAGCCAATTGCACTTGACTATATAAATAAGTTTTTCTTGTAGAATATTTTGTTGTCATTTTTATGATAAGTTATACTGTCAGGGTGCAACTTAACCGGGTAGATAAGTTGTTTCAAAAGTTCTACTAACTCTTTCATTTTTAAAAGAAATTTTATTGGAGTATAGTTGATTTACAAAGTTGTGTTAGTTTCAGGTGTACAGCAAAGTGAATAAGTTATACACACACATATGTCCACTCTTTTTTTAAAATAAATTTATTTTATTTTTGGCTGCGTTGGGTCCTCGTTGCTGTGCACGGGCTTTCTTTTAGCTGTGAGCAGGGGCTGCTCTTTGTTGCGGTGTGTGGGCTTCTCATTGCGGTGGCTTCTCTTGTTGTGGAGCACGGGCTCTAGGCGCATGGGCTTCAGTAGTTGTGGCACACGGGCTCAGTAGTTGTGGCACACGGGCTTAGTTGCTCCGCTGCATGTGGGATCTTCCCGGACCAGGACTCGAACCCATGTCCCCTGCATTGGCAGGTGGATTCTTAACCACTGCACCACCAGGGAAGCCCCCCACTCTGTTTTTAGATTCTTTTCCCATATAGGCCATTACAGAGTATTGAGGAGAGTTCCCGCTCTTTCAGGCCATTTGGATGTCATAGTTTAATGGAGCAGTGATATGTGAACAGGCATGCTAGGAGTCTGCAAGGACTTGAATGAAATTCACAAGGTGCCTCACCTATTCCTTAAAATAAGTTACTGATTGACAAGAGCTGACTAGAAAATTGCTGTTTTGAATATCAGAGATGCATTATAATCTAGATCTTGAAGTTCATTCTTAGGTACGACACTCTTTAGGATGAGCAGTGGCAAAAGGCCAAGAACTGATGAATTCTCCAGCTGTTCAAATATAACTGGGACAGATGCTATGGGTTGGGATATTTATTAGTGACATTTTTAATATTCAGAGAAAGCAGGGCAATCCAAGTAAGCTACACTTCAGTAACCGGGAAGAAATGCCTAATTAAGAAATTGTTCAGACTTGTATTGAAGGTTTGATCAACTTTCAGACACTTGCTATTATTTTATCAGTGTAAATAGTTGTGTTATGCTCCAGCAAACATTTCTCAATTAACTCTGTATATTAAGAAGGAAAGGAGAAGGAAGAATATTTGACTGCATATATACAAGAAATTTTGGTTTTTCCAAAGAGTTTTTATTTTATATCATTTGTCATCTATTTGGAATCAGATTAAAATACTATGATTAAAAACTAGGCACAGCACATTTTCTACTTTAGAGTGAAAAAATAAACCCTTCCAAAGAGCCAGTTTTGAAAGGAAGAAATAAGGAATTTTAGAGTAGGGATGAACTCTTGAAAATTTCATCTGATTTCTGAAATCTCTCTAGATTTTTTGGTGATTGTACTGAAAGGGCATTAGTCAAAAACTTGAGCTTGAGGTCAGGCAGGTCTGGGCCTGGGTTCCCCCTTTTTCCCACTGATGGCGCTGGGACAAGTAAATAAACCTCGGCTTTTTCATCCATCAAAAAGTGATGATAACAGTGTCTATTTCACAGGGGCTGGTTGAGGCCAAACGAATACATGTAAAGCATTTAGCACAGTGCTGGTACACAGTAGGCACTTAATAAATATTTACTGTTTGAATGATGAGTAGCTCTTTCAAATGGTAGTTTGTTGTGGAGAAAAGAAGGAGCATTTCATGTGGGGCATGTCAAGTTCATGTTCAGTGGATTTGAACTCAATTTTAAAGCCAATCCTCTTTAAACTGTTTTGCTTCCATTCTTGTATCATACAGCCTATTGGCATTTAAGATGCATAATCTACAAGGCCTACAAGGAAAAATTAACTAGTTCCTAGAAACGGTGGTATATTTCTCAAATCTATCAAAATATATTGTACTTTGGATTGATTTATGATGTGATCAACACTCCTGAAGTAAAATGGAACCTATTAAATTTTATAGGCAATTTCAAAATCTCAATGATTATAATTCTTGAGGTTATAGACATTACTAAAAATTATTAGCAATACACTTTTTTAAAAGAAATGACATATAGATAACTCAAAACAAAAACAAAGCCCCACAATATTTCAAATAATTTAAGAATGTGCTGACTAAATTGTGGTTAGAAACTACTGACCTAAATTAAGATCAATACATGGTCAAACAGAAGGATTGTAATTACCTTTTGCAATATTTTTTTGTTTCGTTTTCACTTATGTCCTGTGGTATATTGACCCTAATGATTAGTTCTTCATAAGCTGGTTTTTACTGCTACTCTACATGAACTATCTGGGTTTAGAAAAGTATAGATTTTAAACAGAGTTGCTGACAGTAGATGAGGGATTTTTTTTTTGTCTTAAAAACTCTAATTTTAGAGTGAATAGAAAGATACCGCTCTTTTACAAAATTGGAAACAAGGTTCATGGGAATGACTCACGCCCTCAGTTTCATCCATTTATTTCATACCAGGATGTTTGCTAATGTCAGGTGCGTGCTATCGCTAAGGCTGACTGGTAGACAGGTGATTCTGAATCTGCTCCTCGGCATATTCACAGACATGTATTGTTTTAAGTAATGCATTTCAAAAAATTTCACGTGTTAAACATGTCTACCAAAAGACTGTTTTTATGCATGATTTCAAGATGAGAACTACAGAGACTACTCGTATATGCAGAGATGCCTGAGACCTGCCAAGCACCTTTTCCTGCTGAGTTATTATGTGGCCAGAATTCCTCTTTGTTACTGCTTGTTAATTGAGGTGTCTCAACAAGATGAAGAACACCAGGGAAGAGCCAAGAGTAAGAGGAAAATGCTAGAGATGGAAAAAAACAATAGGTTCATATTCTTTTTATTGGTGGGTTAAGCAGAATGTTTTAGAATACTTAAATTTCCCCTGTACACAAAAAATTTTGCAACGAGAGTAATACCTCATTGTACCATTTAAATAGTGTTGCACAGCTTACTTTATTCTGTGGTCGTGATTTATTTTCAGGAACTTGGAAACCTGGAAAAAGTTTACAGTTCTTTTGGCTTTATTTTAGAGAGGGGGGAAACGTTCAGGTCCACAGACACACTTGAAGCTGAACTCACTTTTTAGATACGAATGACATCCTAGTTCTATCCCAGTCCATATTCTTTTCTGAAATAGCTGAGCTGAATCCTACTGGGACCAAATTTTAATGCAATAGAGAGTCCTCATTACATTGAAGATAAGAATCTTAAATATTCTGAATAGAATCATTTGTGAGTCTCTGAACAAGTGGTCAAGTGGTCTCTATATGTGTCAGGATGAGATCAGTCTGTTATCTAGAACAACAGAGGACAAGTTCATTAGTAAGTACAAAAAAAAAATTACCTTGAAAGTAAATTGCTCGTTGAAGACAGGATTAAGGGTCTTTCGGTGGACTTTTGTCTCAAATTTCTTCTTTTTATCTGGCAGCAGAAACACCTTCACATAGGGATCAGATGTGCCCCCCATGTCTAAGGCGGGCAGCTCGGCAGCCTGAATGATTCCTACCAGCAGCTGAAATGAGAGGCAGGATACAGCAAACACTGGCATTGGTGGACATGTTGGAAAAGATTGATGTGTTCACACTGCTGCATATTGTGATTTTTCCCTTTTGTTCTTTGCTTTTAATAAACTTTTATTCTCTTCTGAATCTGAGCACAGAAGGCAAATGAAGTGAGCTGCATAGACTTCAGAAACCCAATTACGACAGATGCAGGCTCTAGGAAGCCTGGTTTTAAACACAAAAGAGGCTTTTAAAAGGTTGCTGATTACAGTTAAATATGGAATTCATGTTTGCAAAAGGGTTGCAATCAAATAACTTTCCAGTTGCTAAAAGCCCTTGTGCATTATTTTTCTTTCCAGGGCATGATTTGTAAGTGGAAAGAAATTGTTAAACAATCACAAGCTTGTAATTATAAAGTAGGAAATTCTTATTTTGAACCAAAGCCCCAGAGCAGCTAAATAGAAATTTTCTTAGAATTTGGTAGCTTTTTGAGATAAAAATAAGATTTTCAAGTTTCTATCATATTTGACCTTTACTTGGGTACTGGCTCCTCCTTGTTTTAACTTAGAGTAAAATGATTATTGTATATTAAATTCTGTGTTAAATATAGGACATGGGGTCAAAGAAATATAATTTTAGCTTCATATAAAGGAAGGGGAGATTACAGTTATGGTTTTTAATGCTAAGTGACTAAGTTTCTGATATTTTTCAAATACAGCAGAAATCTCTGCATTTCTTCACGTCTGGTTTTCTCAGTGATACATTCCTATCTCTTATTAGGAATGCGGGTATTGGCTGGCACTGATAATGTTTTTGCAAAGGAAACAGAAGGTGTGAGCAGACTCTTCTGATGCCCTGCCATCAGACATGCTGTGTCAACAGACTGGTTTAGATCCATATGGGAAACAAAAGTAGACTCCCTTATTGTTATTCAATGTATATACCCTTCAGAAAATGCAGTCACATCATAGCTGTTCACATCAGGGTCTGAAATGTTGAGTCTGTACCTTTTCCACCAATAGAGTGGAAAAGCAAGTCACCTCCTTGAAAAAGTCACATCCACTTTCTACAAAATGGACCCACCATGTGCACTTTGGCTAGTTGGCTCAAGTTTTAACCTAGACCAATACCCTTAAAGATTGTTGTTTCCATCTTAATGCTTCAAGATCTTTGTGACTTCATCATACAACAGTAGCAATAAGAATGCTGGATTGTAGGTATACAAAACGTAGACAGATGGTCAAAGAATGGTTAAAATAGACATCAGCTTATAAAGACATGATTAGTAAAGCAAACAGTTCATCTCTAGGTTTGCCAAGTTGGTATTTGGAATTTGCCTTTGGATAGCAATGTGAATAAGCAAGATTATATTCTCTCCTCACTTTTTGTAATACTTTTCTTTGGGGCAGGGAAAGCACTAGTGATATAGCCTAAACTCTTTCAAACTTGATCATCTGTACTTTAAAGATTTGGGGGTATCTTGTTGATAGAGGTGGAATTACTTCTCCCAACCCCCCTCTGACTTCTGCTTGAGAGATAAGTATCACATTTCTCTCCACCATGAAAGGTTCTTAGAGGACTTTCAGGATTGTCTTTTAGTTTTGGTAAGCAGGTGTGTATATTTGATTACAGCCTTATCTACGAAATTCCTCAGACTTTATCTTCCATGACTCATAGGAATCATTTTATAAATCAGATTAGCGGAGAACGTTTGGAAGAATAAATGCATACTATTAAAATAATTTATCAGGTAGAATACCCTAGATCCTCTGAATGAAATACCTTCTAAAATGGGTTTGCTAGAAAAGGAAGAGTAAATGCATTTGAATTATATTTGAGTAAAAAAAATTCAGTGCTGTATTCTTAAAAATACTACCTTATAAAATGTTACTTAGAGTACTCAAAGCCAACGTAGAAGTTTCAAAATTATGACTAACCAAGATGAGATCCACTAGATTTCTACTGGAAAATATGAAAGTAGAATAAATTAGTAGAAAATTGTTGGCTACATATATAAAGGCAGGTTATACTTCTGGAAAAGATGTTTTGTGTTAAGATAATGTAAGTTGACCTTGACCTTCTCTAGAATACATAAATAATAGGCAGTTTTGCTCTCAACCAATCCCTAATGATCAAATTTTGGTAGAAGCGATAAAAATGACCTCAAATGCCCTATTTAATTAACTAGAAATGATATACCTATAATTCTGTATAATTCCATACCTATTAGCTTGTATCTATAACCAACATGCAGTTTTCTGGAACGTATTATAAAATAATGAGCCAGGGCTGTAATGAAGCTAACTAAATACAATTATTTATTATATGGTGGTACGTATCAATATGTTCTTTTTGAGGAACCCTCTGGACACTTCAAAAAGTGAAGACATTATTTGAACAGTCAATTCCTAAATAAAGTCCAGAATTTCTGCCATTGTTTAGAGCTCACAGTATTACTGACTTTGGACATAAGTCACCAAAGCTGAGTATTGGTGTTCGATTTATTTATTGTTTATTCCTCATCAAACTAGACATAATTAACACATGCTGCATTAGGTAGTAACTCTATTTACATCTATCAAGTTCTTCCCCACCCCGAAAGGTCAGTGAACTGATCAAACTGGAGAAATCGATTTAAAGCTCTCCTAGTCGGAAGAGAACTGTGTCTTATAGATTTTTAAGAGCCTGATCTCTAACTCAGCTAATTCTTATCTAGCTTTTAAATTTCTTGAACAGTTCAGAAGGTAAAGAGACATCTTCATCAAAGTCATGGGTCCTAGAAGGTCTTTTTTTTTTTTTTTGCGTTACGCGGGCCTCTCACTGTTGTGGCCTCTCCTGCTGCGGCGCACAGGCTCCGGACACGCAGGCCCAGCGGCCATGGCTCACGGGCCCAGCCGCTCCGCGGCATGTGGGATCTTCCCAGACCAGGGCACGAACCCGCGTCCCCTGCATCGGCAGTCGGACTCTCAACCACTGCGCCACCAGGGAAGCCCCTGGAAGGTCTTTTTAGGTAGAGGTTTTTTTTTTTTTTTAACATTTATCTTGGAGCTACCATTATAGCAGGCAGTTAATAAAAGCCAGCTAGTATTATCATTCATCTAGGGGGCACTTCACGGCTTTTAAAGCAGGAGGGACTGTTTTGATGCAACCTTTAGTTCCTTGTCACTTTTCCGGAAGCAGGGCAGCATGCAAAGGCATTAGAAATCAAGTTGATGGTCTTTCTACTTTTCTAGAGCCGTTAACTCATTTGTGCTAGGAGGTTTAGCCAGTATCATATTACATAAGGCATTCTTGCCATTGAAATTCATGGAAAGTCAATTTTTTAATCTTTGATTCCTCATCAAATGGTTAATTTTTGTTTGAAGACTTTGGCTTAATTGGTGGTCTAACTCAAAGGTCCCTTGCCCTGTTTGGAGCTAAATCCATGAATTCCAAGGAAGATTGTTGTAGCTCAGCCTGAGGGATCTGTGACTGGGAGCTCTCAGAATCAGACTGATGGCTTCAAGTTAATTTGTATTCTGCCTGCCTGCTGTAAGTGCCATAAGTAGATGTAATCGGCTGAACACTGTGGATTCTAATTACCAGAAGTTAAATTAGCAAGTAGGGGACCGCCTGTACTTAGAAATGATTTCATCAATAGCTTTGATAATTGCATTTTCCCCTCGTAGCAAACCAAATGTTTTAAGAAGTATCTTGTTTCAATTTCTAGTTGGTAATTTCAGAAAACGTAATGGAATTACAAGACATTTTCCCCCTCAGACCTGGTTATTCTGGAAATCATAATCCAGTGAATATTGAAGTTTTCCCAATTTCTCCTCTTCTTTGGGTTCTTCTTTTTCTTCCCCATCAGTCAATCCAGTTTCAGCATCATCATCCTTCAGGGCCTATGAGTAGGGAAATGGATTATATGTGAATTCAAATGAATTTTCATCAGAACTCAAATGACACTGGGCCTGTGGTTATACTTCCAAGCTGTTAGAAGCAAGCACTGAGATGCTGTAAATCTCCATTTGTCTGACACACATTCACATCTGCTGCTTACATATTTTTTTAAAATTCCATTTGTGCACGGAATTTTTTCCCCCCAATCAGCAAGCAACATGGAAGCAATGGAAATAGCCCCTCAGAATATTGCAAGCAAAAAATGTAAAGTTGTTGCAAAGAAAACGTCAACTTTGTGTTATATTTGGCTCTGATAAAATCGCTTCTTTCGGAGGTATGATAAACATGCTATTAACCAGGCCAGTTTTCACATTCATGTAATTTAAAAGAGATCTTAAGCATCATGTAAAACATCCTTGTTACATGCAGTGGAGTAATTTATATGAAATGGGTGGCCTTTTCTTGCCTTGTTTCCTATGAAAAAGATAGTTGAGTAAGTGATTCTTAGAAAATTGTAATTTCCTGAGTTTTGCGTATACGTTTGTAATGGTTATGGGAAAAGAGGAAAAAAAAACATGCCACCAGCAAATGCATGTTTGGAGAAAAATCTACCCCAGTTCCAGTTTAAGTTTACTGTTTTACTTTCATAACAGCTCCACAGAAAGCTAGGCTGAATTAAATTGACTTACGGGTCTGTTTGATAGCAAAAGGTAAAAGGAGTTATGTTTGCAATTCTGTCAAGCTGAAATTAGCATAAAAATTAATTTTGTGTAACAAGCAAAAATCATGGCACAGAATTCTCAAAATTGAGTTTAAACCAATTGAATGTTCCTGATAACCTAAAACTTAAGTGTAATATAAATTGAAACACTAGAAAGCTCATAATTTCATAAAATTCATTCAAATGGTCCTCTTTATTAAAAATAAAAATATATAATGTATTTTCCCAATTAATGCAAAAAGTTTGCTCAAAAAAATCAAAGGTTATAAAGATTATAAATATTAGAAGTTTTGTTTCTAGGGGGTGTGCATTCTTATTGCTTTAAAGAATTAGAAAAAAATTAGAAATCTATAAATAGTTATTCGAAATGAAAAATGATAAAATGTTACGTTTTCCTGAACACTATTGAGGTTGAAAATTTAAAAACCTTTATATGAACTATTTGTATTATTTCTTCTGGGGACTACCTGTGTAATAATCTTTTGTATAATATGTATATATAATACATCCTTTGCTAATTTTTCTATTGGGTTGTTTGCCTCTTAGTGATTTGTAGAGACTCTGTATTTTGGTGGTCTCAATCTTTTTGTTGTTATATACTACAAATATTCTCTCTTAGGTTTTGGTTATGGTATTTTCATTGCCTTTCTTTGTGTGTGTGTGTGTGTTACTATAGAATCTCACAAAATTGAAGATAAGACATATGAGTGGTAGGCTGCTTTATATCTCTGACAAAGCAAAGCAAAATAATTTTTTTTTTTTTTTTTTGCGATACGCGGGCCTCTCACTGTTGTGGCCTCTCCGATTGCGGAGCACAGGCTCCGGACGCGCAGGCTCAGCGGCCATGGCTCACGGGCCCAGCCGCTCTGCGGCATGTGGGATCTTCCCAGACCGGGGCACAAACCCGTGTTCCCTGCATTGGCAGGCGGACTCTCAACCACTGCGCCACCAGGGAAGCCCAAAGCAAAAGAATTTTAACTCCTGTCAGTGATCAAATTAAACCTGAGAAATCTTCTAGAACTCAAATGCACAGAAGTATAATCAGGCTTCAGAAAGGCTTCAGAGTCATTAGACTATAGCTCTACCATCCAACCTCCCACAACTCCCAGATTACATGGTTTTTTCCCTCTGCTCAGAGAAATCTCTTCTGTTCACTTATCCATTCATACAGAGACCCGCAGTGGTGTCTCAAAATGACACCCTCAGTCTCTGAACTGACAAGACTGCAATTTGGCTCTAGCCATCTAACTCTAGTTTGATCCTAAAAAACAGACTTGGCATCATCTTACTAGAACTCATTAGGGTGGGAAGATGATAAACAGAGAGTTGAGCTGAAACACAGAGTTGAGCTGTAGTTGGAGATGCCTTCCATTTTGTTCTTCCTGAAAAGTTTCAGGAGCCTACAATGACTTTGGAAAATTGAAAATTGCCATTATTACATCTGTGCAGAAACCTTTTCAAATCTGGTGAGCCATACACCACTTAATTAGGAAGTTTATACTTGGATGTTTCCTTGAATAGTAAAATGTTGCTTTACTGATAGCCACAGGCAGGAAAACAACATAATTATTTAAATATTAATCTTTTAACTTGGGGTGTTGCTAATAGAAAAATGATAGTAAAGTGACAGGAAAAGACTACTGAATTTAAGGGGAGGACTTGAGGCAGTGAACCCACATTGCCCTTTCAGAACCTCAGCTGTGCGTCAGTCTTTAATACTGTCTGAAAAGATGTGTTGAGAAAATGGCAATGTAGGTAATTTGCCTCCTGTAAGATTTTGATTTTTTTTAATAGCAAACTATTTAACGCACATTTTTGTCTGAAAAAATATTCACACCACTCCATCATGAAAAAAATTTTCATGGATTGAAATACTTTTTCAAAATCTCTTTCAGAACTGACAATTTACATATGTTTCAGCTCAGTGTCATTTGAAAGAGCTGAGCTATTAAATCGCCTTCTCTCTCAGTGGTTTTTGCCCTAATGAAAGGTGCATGACCATTTCTGCAATTATTCTGCATGGAATAGGGCTAAATTTTTGATAATTTCTCAGTGCTGCTGTTTTATCAGTGAAGTGATTAAGTCTATTCTTGTCCCAAAGGCCGAGCTTAAGCAAGACATTTTCTGTACCATTACATTAAATTAAGACCTATTAAATCAGCAGCTATTATAATATCTCAAGAGCAGTAGTCTCCCCACCACACGCACCAAGGGACAAAATGCAGAGGAAAATGCATGTAAGCCCAGCAGTTCTGAGAGTCTGATAAATTGTAGTGGGAAAAAGACCTTGTTTTAAATTTCAAAAATTTAGTGCACATGCTTCTGGCTTGATTCAACATTCAAAAGGTGTTTAGTTGTACTTGGATAAACCATCAGAAGGTGCATTTGTTCATTCAATGTTAAATTGTTCAGATTTGGAATTGATAAGGCATGCTAAAAAGGGAGCGTAAGACACTACATTTTCTTTCTGTGCCCATCTATTAAAACTTGAGCTTTCTAATACTGTTCTATTTAATCAGTAATCTTAAAATGAAAACCCTTTATCTTAAAAAAAAAAAATCAATTTAGTTCAGCCTCTTGATGTGTGTCAGAATGGTACACCCTCAGCTGCGGAGCCCCGGCTGCCAGGCCACTAAATGTAGTTGAGCGTTGACTAAGGGTGTCTCATAGCAGAGGAAACCTACCGCAAGGGACAGTCCAGAACAGTCATGAGACATAATACAGATAAGGAGGACACAGAGGGAAGAAATAAAAATTTAAATATCCACACACGTTAGTAAAAGCCGTGGAGAAATGACCTTTCCAGACCTCTGACTTTGCAAGTTGATTTTGCCCCTCTGTATTTTTAGTGCTTTTAAGTTTTAAGCCATTATAAAAGTCTTAAATATGTATCCTTTTCTGTATACAAATATTATGTATCATTACCATTTTGTTGTTATTGCAGAATATTTAAAAATTCTTCCTTGGTTATAAAATCTTATCATAGAGACATATAGTCATGAATATTGAAATTTGAATTTCTGTTAGTTCTTATATGGAGTGAAATGGTACAAGTTACTGATTTCTGTATTTACTATTTTTGAGATCTTGGTCATTTATCCATGTCATAATAGGGGTAATAAACACTGCTACTATCCTATAAATTAGTCTTACATCATACAGAACAAATTCCACAAAGAAAAATACAAATTTCTTGTCCTAGGAAGAAATGCTGTAGTAATCATTTAACATTATTTAGTGTTTTAAACTGTTAATTCTAGCAAACATGAAAACCACATTTGAATTTTAATGTAGTTATGAAAATGATAGTATTATAGTTCCAATGTTTCATAGACATAGCTCAAATTCACATACAAATTATTCAGTACATCCATGTCCATCTAGAAAGTTATTACTACTGTTATTAATCTCCCAAATATGTTGTCTAAAGAAATCTGTATCACGTCCTGCTGGTTACGGAAAATGCTGAAATAAAACAAGACATGATTTAAAGCTTCAGTTTCTATGTAACAAATTAACTGAAAAGAAAAATCCTTATTAGACATCTGTGGTTGAACACTGGCACCTGGGCTTCTGTGGCTGTGATTAGAAACTTTGAGAAAGATATAACCCTTGATACTCTGAGCTCAGGATGAAGCTCTCCGAGTGTGAGTGCAGGCATAGCATTCATTCTACGGCTCTGAAACCAAGCAAAAGTTCAAGTGAAAAATGAGCCTATGTGAAATTGTTGTCAAGAGACATTACAGTGTCTTTGAGCAAAGTGTTTAAAACTCAGGCTGGGGAGAGGGATTAGTGTCCTGAGTGTGTGGATAACTACACAAATGTACTAAAAATACCTTCCTTAACTAAATTGTTCTTAAGGAGATTCATATAGTTAAGAGTTCAATTAATAGTATAATAAGAATTTATAAAACTGCCTATATATGTTGCTATTAGGGAATAAATAGAAATTTTCAATTATTTGAAGGGAAGCATTGATAATTGAAAATGTTATTTCTCTGAAAAATCTTCACATTTACTTTTTTTAAATATAAATTTATTTATTTATTTATTGGCTGTGTTGGGTTTCTCTAGTTTGGCTTTCTCTAGTTGTAGATAGCGCGCTACTCTTCGTTGCAGTGCTCAGGATTCTCATTGTGGTAGCTTCTCGTTGCGGAGCATGGGCTCTAGGCACACAGGCTTCAGTAGTTGTGGCACACGGGCTCAGTAGTTGTGGCTCGTGAGCTCTAGAATGCAGTCTCAGTAGTTCTGGTGCACGGGGCTTTGTTGTTCCACGGCGTGTGGGATCTTCCCAGACCAGGGATCGAACCCGTGCCCCCTGCATTGGCAGGCAGATTCTTAACCACCGTGCCACCAGGGAAGTCCCTACATTTACTTTTTATATGAAATAAGTTGTTCCTTAGAAATATCCAATATGAATATGATTCCAATAGAGAAATGAAGAGACATTTAATTATTATACTTATTAATAGTAGGCTTTATTCTGAACCAAATCACCTAGCTCGTTTAGGAAAGATAGATAACAGTGTAAAGGACACTCAGATTGCTTCCTTGGGCTTGGGAAGATAACTCAGCCAGATGGATTTTATAACTTGCATTATGGTTCTAATTGTCCCTAAGTGAAGAGTTTTGCCTTAAAATTCTACCCCATTCTTTAGAACCAGCTCATACTTCTCTCACTTGCCTTGTATAACTCATTATTCCTGAGCGCTCATAATTGAGCTGGATGTTTGTATAGGGATGGTAGCTTTCATCAAGTGTGATAAATAGCTATAAGACTCAGTATTTAACAGTGATTATGAACAGTGATGATGATAAAAAGATGTCCCGCCCAAGAGGAAGAACAGGTACTCTTTATTCTGTTTCTCTAGCTCTAGGCACAATTAAGAGAGGCTAAACAGATGTAATACAAATGTTCAGGTATCATTCCAATACGCTGGGCCTACCAATTTGGCCTTGATGGTCACGGATGCCCTTTCCTGGTCTATGTGCTTAGGAGACTGGAAAACCCTAACCACACGTTTCCATTGTACTTTGGGATGTTGAGTCATGACTGAAAGGATTGCAAAGGCATTTCTAAAACTATGACAAGTGTCCAGATATCGTTTATTTCTATATTTATCTGGCATAAACGAATAAACTGTCTATTCTTAAATTTTTGATAAAATAAGAAGAAACATGGAATGAATACATTACCTGATCTTTCATGGTCTTCCCTAAGTCTTTCACATCTTTCATGTTGATGGCATTCTTCCCTCCCTTTTCCTTTCCCTTCTTTTTGTTTTTCTTTTTGAACAAGCATTTCTTACAGATACAAAAGCAGCACGTCAGGACTAAAAGGACTGCGACTACGGCTATGGCAATTAAGGCCCACGGTGGCACTGAAAGAAAACAAATGCAGAGACTGTTAGTAATAAAGCATTTACATCTGCAAAACCTTTAAATTCATGGGCCATAAAGATAGCTGTTCACTCATTCACGCGTATTTATTGAGCTCTAGGCACACTGTCCTGCATCGCTTTATCCATGTTGTTTCCCCAGCCTAGAGTGTTTCTATCTTTTCCCCCTCGCCCGTCCAGGCATGCCAAATGTCATCTCCTCCCTACAGCTTTCCCTGCCCCTCCAAGCTAGATTTTCAATGATCCACTCCTTCATTTCTTCAGAGCTTACCTCTGGAGTCTGGCCTTTGAGTTCAGGCCCTGGCTCCACCATTTTACTAGCTGTGTGACCTTGGGCAAGTTGCCTAACCTCTCTCTGTCTCAGTATCCTCATCTCTAAAGTGGAGGTAAATTGGTGGGTACCTGATAGTCTTTCTGAATGTTAAAATAAGATGCAGTACCTGGCACACGGCAAAAACTTAATATTAGCTGCTATTACTCATCTATCAAATACTATAGGTTCTATTAACATGCCCTGGGCACAGTGGAAGGGGTAGATATTAATCAAAACAACAGAAAGACAAATGTAAAGTCCTAAAAGTAGTGAAGATCAGGAAGAAGGACTTGGTGCTCTGAAAGTCGATCATGGGGAGATTTACCCATGCAGGGTCTCTGGAGGTAGGGCAGCGGTTATAAACCCAGGCTTAGATTCAGGCTTGGCCACTTACAGGCTTCGTAACTGGCCAGATTATGTGTGTTGAATTGCTGTTTCCCTCTCTATAAAATGAAGATAATAGTGGTACCCGTTTCATCTCTTTTCAAGGTTGAGTTAATAGACTAAAAATCTTAGAATGGCATCTAGCACACAGCAAGAATTCAATTAATATTCGCTTTTTAAAAAAAAATATTCAAGGCATAGGGCTAAGTACTGTGGGTGACACAGCTCAGAGTACCTATGCGGGCATAAAAAATGCACATCAATAAATATATAAAAAGAAAGAGGTGAATACACTGAGAGGAGTTTGATGGATATGTTAAGAAATTGAGAGGAGGAAGAGAGAATTTTTAGATAAGAGCATAGACTTCAGATTCACAGGGTCTGTTTAATAAAACATACACAAATAAAGACACTCAAGCATTTTTTTCTATGACACGTTGTCCAGCTACTAAAAGTAACTCTATTTTCTCATTTGGCATCCCCTACACATGTGCTTATAAAACAATCAGGTCTCATGGAAACACGGAGGATTTCAGTTTGCCTAGAAAGTCATTCAACTATTGAGATTAATCACAAGAAGCAGTAATTAGATTTGCCTGTTGTAATCAAAAAAGACATTAGTTACTGAAATGGTAAGAAAAAGTGCTATTTTCTTCTAGCTACATAAACATCGTTAGTATCAATGATTGCTGAACACAGGTAGGAGTACTTTGATGACGTAAAAACACCTAAAAATTAACTTCAAAACTGAGAAAATCCGCTCTCTTGGCTCCTTTTGCATTTAGCTTCATAGTGAAGAAGACTTACTATGCATATTATTCTAGCTTATGAAAGATGACTAGATGTTACCCTAAGGACATATAAAACCATAACTGCTGAAATTGTGTTTTCAGCTAAAGAAAGATTTGTGTGAAAGTTACAGATAAGCCCATACCCAAAGACATGCTTTCTTATAGGTCTCTAATCTCATTAAGCAATCATATTTTTAAAAAAATGTAAAGGGAGCTTATGTAACGAATGATAGCATTCACAATACTTCATTTAAAAGCTTCTACCTCTTTTGATCTAGTTAAAACCCTGCCATGCGTGAAGGAGAGAGCCTGTGTATTCACTGCGGGTGAGACAGTAGAATAATGACCCTTCATTTTGAACCTCGTAAATTATTCTCCTAGTTGGACTTGCGTGATAGTCTCTCAGAGAGCTACATAAAAGTCTCTTAAATTACACAGGGCAAGACAGAGATCATTTGACAACTTAACAAAAAGAAAATAGACAGTGACAGCACAGGAACATTATTTAAAGGAGGTAAAGAGATAGGAACATAGGATTACAGGAAGAAATTTGAAATAGTGCAACTTGAAGGTGAATTATAATCACTGAAAAAAACTTTTGTTTTTGACTTCTATTGCTTATAGTGCTGCTGTCTTCTAGATTTGCTTTCAGCTGATCTTCTGAATAGCTTAATTTTAACTTTGAATATATGAAATAAACAAAAATTTCCTCACAACTTACTGGTACCTTTAGATGGAATTTTTAAAAAGCCTTAATGCTATCATTTTGTGTACCCATATGAAAACTGGACTGAATAGTTAATTATCAACCACCATTTTAAATTAAATGCAGTTATTTAAATTGAATTTTCGTGCTAACGATCTTATTTTATTTCGTAGAGCAACTAAATTTCGAAAGTTTAGTCAGAAACACCATCCACAGTATTATTACTTTGTAGCATTTATAGAAATAAGTTTCAATATTAGTGAGCAAATCTCATGAAATATATTTTGGATTACACTAAAAATTTATTGAAGACCTACTTATTATGGGCCAGCAGCTGTGCTACGGCTTTACATACATTAAATCTCATGTAATCTTCACAGAAGTTTTGTTCATTATCCCTTAAATTTTATAAAGGAAAAACTACAGATTGAATAGTAGGAGTAACTGAAATATATTTTTACATCATTAGGTTAAAAATATGCATATTATACATGTATACAAAGGAAAAGTCCTTGTGGGGCTGTGAAGCCTATTTAATAGGACATTTTACTTTTGAAAAACAATGGAGAAAGTAACAGCAAAAGATGCTGCTAAGAGTGATTTCTTTATTTAAATATAAAATATAGTTTCAATCAAAAATAGGCTCATCAAAATATTGCTACTGGCAGAAAGCTATCAGCTTATGGTTATTGCTACCCAACTATCATTAAATGGAATTTTATAACCTGAATTTTAGCATTTAACTTAAGGACCTTTCAACAGAAAATAATAGACTAATGTAAAAGCTCTCCATTAAAAATGTAATTTTCATCTTCTAGTTAATGAATTAATCTCACATATCATTTAACCTGAAGGTAAACCGATGCATAAGAACTAAGTCAAAGTCAATTCTGCTTCTGATGTTTTAACTTAGATTTTGTGGTACACAGAATAATGAGTCCTCAAAAATGTCCACATTCTGATCCCTGGAACCTGTGACTATGTTACCTTACATAGCAGAAAGGACTTTACAAATGTGATTAAGGATCTTGAGATGGCGAGTTTATCCTAGGTTATCCAGATGAACCCAGTGTATTCACTATGGTCCTTCTCAGTGAAAGAGGCAGGCAGGAGTTTCAGAATCAGAGCGATTTGAGGATTCTGTGCTGCTGATTTTGAAGATGGAGGAAGGGACCATGAACCAAAGAAGGTAGGTGACCTTTAGAAGCTGGAAAACGCAAGGAAAGGGATTCTCTCCTACAGCTTCAAAAGAATTAGTTCAGGGTTTCCCTGGTGGCGCAGTGGTTGGGAGTCCGCCTGCCGATGCAGGGGACCCGAGTTCGTGCCCCGGTCCGGGAGGATCCCGCATGCCGCCGAGCGGCTGGACCCGTGAGCCATGGCCGCTGAGCCTGAGCGTCCGGAGCCTGTGCTCCGCAACGGGAAGAATTAGTTCACATAGTCATTATAAAAAAAAAAAAAAAACAACAACACTATGGAGTTTTCTCAAAAAAATTAAAAGTAGAACTACCATGTGGTCCAGCAATCCCATTCTGGGTATTTATTGAAGGAAACAAAAAATCACTCTCTTGAAGAAATATCTGCACCACCATGTTCACTGCAGCTTTATTCACAATAGTCAAGATATACAAGTAACCTAAGTGTCCATCAATGGATAAATGGATAAAGAAAATAAATGGATAAAGAAAATAGAATATTATTCATCCATAAAAAAGGTTCCTTCTGTCATTTGAGACAACATGGATGACCCTTGAGGGCATCAGGCTAAATGAGAAGTTAGAGACATACGTCATACAGACAAATACTCTGTGATGTCAGTTAAATGTGGAACCTAAAAAGTTGGAACTCATAGAAACAAAGAGTAGAACAGTGGTTACCTGGGGCTGGGGGTGGGTAGGGGAAATGGGGAGATGTTGGTCAAAGAGTACAAACTTTCAATTATGAGATGAATAAGTTCTGGGTGTCTGATGTACAGCATGGTAACTGTAGTTAACAGTACTGTATTGTATACTTAAAATTTGCTTAGAGAGATCTTAATTGTTCTTACCACATACACACAAAATGGTAATTATGTGAGGTGATGGGTATGTTAAATGACCTTATTGTTGTAATCATTTCACAATATATGCGTGTATCAAATCATCATGTTGTACAACTTAAACTTATACAATGTTATTTGTTAATTACCTATCACTAAAGTTGGGAAGAAAGAAGGAATCAGCCCTGCTGACAATGTGATTTTAGCTCAATTAAACACATTTTGGACTTCTGACCTCCAAATAATAAATTTGTGCAGTTTTAAGCCAGTGATTTTGTAGTAAGTAATTACAGCAGCAATAGGAAACTCAATAGAGACAAAGCAGACCTCAAGAGATTTATAACATATGCTGCATATAGATGACTATGCAATTGGAATATTAATGTGGGCTATTTCTGTATATGTGGTGATCTTTTCTTCTTAGTCACCGTTTTTATCTATGCCTTCTGCAACCATTTTCATGATACTAACAGTGCACTCAAGACTCTCTCAGAGATAACCAATGATTTTCTTATGGCTAAATCCAAACTACATTGTCAGTGGTATGAAAAAGTCTTGATCCTGTATTCCTTCTTGAAAATTTCTTCTGCTTTTATTTCTACTACCCTTACCGGCACCTTCTTCTGTGGCTCGGACATTTTCTTCTCTTTCCTTTCCCAATCCCCAGTGTCAGATGGAGTTGTTATTCAAGGCGTTTAGCTCTGTGCTCATCTTCACATTCCCTCGTTAATAAGCAAATCATTTCCCATGCCT